CCAGTAACAAATAAGTGAAATCTTTTGATATCAGTTAAAAAGTTATTCACAGTTATTTAGATGTGAATATAGTAAAAAACCTTCAAGAATTAATTTGAGAAGTATTAATTTATATAAACATATTTCAGAAGCTTTTTAACTGATATCAAAAGATTTCACTTATTTGTTACTGGAAGTTGGTTAGAATGTACTAGACAAACTGAATTTTAAACAATAGTTATTTTTCATTTAAACATTCTGCACATCTGGATGAACGTACATGTTACAATACAAGTGTACATTATGGTAACAGATAATGAAGAAACATTACTCACTTCTCTACAGAACTAAAAGATATTACCTCATTCCACTGCCAATAAAAGATTTTCATACATACCACAAGCCTTGAATGAAACTCCCACCACCTACATGTATTAACTTGGACTGTGCCAGTCTAAGAAGTAATACCCATGCTTTGTTCATATGTGTTTTGTCATTAAGAATTATGAACTTATTGTGCTTATTATGTTAAACTTGCATTATTATTCGTAATGTAGTCTTTCTATATTTTATTGGTTATGAGAGAAGAAGATTTAGAATTGTACACTTTTCAGTTAGAATTTTGATTGGAATTATGTTGATTTGATTTTTTCTCTTAATCAAACTAAGGATGCACCATTGGGCTTCCTCTTCAGCAGACTCCAGATAATTAATGAAGTATATCCAGAGATCTAGTCTTCTCACTTGTCTTTCCTCCCTTCTCTTTTACCTCTCACTGCTGTAATGACTCCGTATGATATCACACAGGTGTGAGCATCCATATTCCTCTATCTTGCTCTGACTTGCATCTGTTCAGGGCCTCCCCAGTGGATCAGAAGTAAGTCTGAGATCATCTAATATTAAACTATTAGGGTTTTCATACCTGTGCTGTTTCCACCACAGATGGTCCATTGTGTTGATTTTTACTAAACACTAACCAAACCTGTGAATTAAACCTTTATATTGATGCCTCTCTGTCTGGGTGAGATGCAGTTGTGGATATTTTCTAGAGTCTGATCCCCAGAGGGGTTGTTTCTCCACATCAATGTTCTCGAGATACTGACTGCTAAGTGAGCTTACCATCATCTTCTGTATCATATGTCTGGTCTTCGTGTCATGATTCATTCAGACAACTTCACTGTCATTTCTTCCAGCAACTGACAGAGAGGCACTCACTCTCAGGACCTTCATCTCTTTGCTCTAGACTTTCTCTTTCCGGCCTGTGACCACCACATCTGGTTGTTGGCCTATCATGTTCAAGGAGCTTTTACACTGATGGTGGATCAACTAACTCACCTAGATGGGATACTTCCTGAAGTGTGGTCTCTATGTCCAATGATGTTTTCAGTGACTTTCCTCCCATCTTGGGATCCCTCTCATTATTGCCTTTATGTTTCCCCTCAACATCTAGATTCCACTCTTTTGGAGTCCAGCCCTTGACTTTACAACTCTTGCAGTGAGTGATTTGAGTCAGGATTGATTCAATCTCTTTCTAGATGCCTATCCTTCTCTTTGAATTCTTCCCAGTTTTACTATTACTGATTACAGAACAGTTTCATCAGTGACCTCCCACTCTTCCCTGGCTATTCTGTATTTCTTTTGCCAGTTCTTACAGATCTCTTCCTAGTCTTTTTAATTGGTTGTCATTCTCATCCAGTTCCTCTTTTGGACTGGAACCTCTGTTCAGTTCTTCCAGTGAGTGATTAGATGTTTTCTCTTTCTTCCTTATATGATCATTCAGACCACAATTGTCTTTTTTTGTCCTGTGTACAGGCAGTTTGCCGTTATCTTGCTGTTAGGATGAGGTTTTCCACAAGACTGCTTCCGTGCCCTACTTTTTGAGTGGAGTACAGCACCAGGTGTTACACTGCCCTCACACCTGGCTACCACCTACTGTACATATTTTTATTAACCTATTGCATAGTCTATCAGTGTGGGACATTATACAGATGTGATGATTCCTCTTCAGTCCAAGGAACTCTCTGGTGTTCTCTCCCATGCATATTCCTCTCTCCTACTTTCATACAGTGCAGTAAAGGACGAACCCTTGCTTTCCCAGTCCCAAGTTACTGGGGATGTTGATATGGAGGGTTCCCCCCCTTTGAGGGAAAAATCACTAGTATAAGACCATGTGTAGCTAAACAGGCTTAGTTTGTTTTTGTTTTCAAAACAAAAATTCATCTGCCTTTTAAATATGTATCTTAGAACAAAAAAATGTATTGGTTACTAGAATAGAATGTCCTAAAACATTCTGTTAATGCTGTGAACAACTCCTCCTCTCTCATGCACAATAGTTACCTCTTCTTGATTATGTCTTTTGCTGCCCAATTCAAGAAGATGGTTGCATGGATGATAGAAAAAAAAAAGCCATTTCTATTGATTATAAACACGCATCTGATATGAACATGTGGTTTTGAAAACTGCCTTGAAAGTTAAGGACAGATGGCTGGGGCTTCTGTCGTGGGCTAGAAGATGTACTGATATCTCAGCAAATGGAGAAGTTAGAACATTATAATTGTACATTTCACCTTGTCATTATTTATAGCTTGTGTTTATAAACAGCTATACTATTGATATTATACAAATTCAAAGGGAGAATTGAGAGCACATGCAAGATAATATAGTTGTGTAATTAAATTTTGAATGTAACTCTTTAAAACATTGCAACATGTGCAGTGGCCTAATACCCATACTAGAAGGGGTAATGCATGTAAGGATGGGAGTTTTGTTCAAGGCTTGTGACATGTGCAAAAATCCTTTTTGGCAGTGATACTACATAATAGCTCATAGTTCTGTGGAGAGGTGAGTATGTATCTGAAATACACTTTCAGGTAAGGAAAGTGTTAAGAATTTTGTTCAGTCAGTAAATTTCATATATCTCATTTTTTTTATCTTACACTCTCACACACCCAAACCCCTCTACCTGGTTCTTCTTCATGGATCCTTGTGGCTAACAGATTCACTGATTTGGAATAATCCTGATATAATATTCCTGGATCTACCCTATTATTTCCTTCAAGAGAAGATAACCACTACTTGTCTAATATCCTAGGACTCTAGTTGGAAACTTATACCACTCTTTATTGAATAGTTAAGTAAATATAGCTGTTTTAGATTTAAGAGAGAAAGAAATACTGTTTATCGATTCTTTAAAGTATGCTTTAATCTGTAATGGCTCTAGACAACAGAGGCTGACGTTCTGTATTACTAATGTTTTCTTAGGGGGAACGACTAAGCCATGCTGTTGGCTGTGCATTTACGGTTTGCTTAGAAAAGAAACAGAAGAGAGATAAGGATGTTTCTACTGTGACCTTTGACCCAGAAAATTCCACATTCACGCGTACCGGTTCTTTCCGACATACAACACTTACAGAAAGAAAACAAGATCCACAGGAGTGTATAGTAGCTAGTAAGAGTTTGATGAATTTTGAACTTTTTTTTTTAAATCTTTGTAAACTGGGGTTTTGTATCTAAAAGTAATAATTTGTATAACTTGTGAAGAGAATTGGACTCTCAGTGAGTTGTTTTTAGGAAGGCAGGCAACTTATGACTCATCATATTATACCCTTTTTTTTTCATAAGTCATTATGTTGTATGCTGTTTTTCCATAAGTCATCCTAATATATCATCTTTCTTCATAAGTCATTATATTATATCCTGTTTCACAGCATATTCTATTGTTTTATAAGCTGTCATAATGTACACTGGCACTGCATGTCTTCACAGTGTACTCTGTAAGCCATTATAATGTACACTAATGCTCTTCATGTCTTCACAGTGTACTCTGTAAGCCATTATAATGTACACTAATGCTCTTCATGTCTTCACAGTGTACTCTGTAAGCCATTATAATGTACACTAATGCTCTTCATGTCTTCACAGTATACTCTGTAAGCCATTATAATGTACACTAATGCTCTTCATGTCTTCACAGTATACTCTGTAAGCCATTATAATGTACACTAATGCTCTTCATGTCTTCACAGTGTACTCTGTAAGCCATTATAATGTACACTAATGCTCTTCATGTCTTCACAGTGTACTCTGTAAGCCATTATGATGTACACTAATGCTCTGTATGTCTTCACCAGGTGTCCTGTTACTGTGTAAGTCATTGTAAGTTTAACTTGTTGCAGTACTAGGATATATTTCTGGGTCA